TAGATAGATTATTCTAGCCAGACCTTCAGAGTTCAGTTTAGCCTTTTCAATTGTATTGTTTTGTTGTTTTTTGATTTTTTTGTTTTGTTTTGTTTTGTTTCGCTTTTTGGTACCCGGAATTGAACTCAGGACCTTGCACTTGAGACAAGCTTGGCCCCCTGCCCCGCTGTTTTATTTTTTTTTAAGATAGGGTCTTGCTATGTAGTTCTTTCTGGGCTTGAACTAGGTATCCCAGCCTGGCCTCAAACCCACAGCAATTCTCCTGCCTCAACTTCCCTTGTGCTGAGGTTATAGGCATGCACCACCACACCTGGCTTGTTTTATTTTCCATGTCCTACGAAAATTACCAACTAAACACTGTTCTTATTTCTTCTCTGCCTTTAATTCATGCCATTGCCACCATTCCCAACTGTTCATATTATGTGACTAGCTCCCTGTATTAAAATAGTCCTGGCCAAATCAATTATCAGTTCCTTCTCCACTCCCCACCTCCACCCATGAACCTGGCTCAAACATGCTAGGCAAGTACTGTACTACTGCCCCCTCTGCCCTTTTTTATTTTGAGATAGGGTTTCCCTAAATTGCCCAGCCTAGCGTTAAACTTTTTATCCTCCTGCCTCAGCCTCGCAATTGGCTGGAATTGCAGGTATGTGCCACAGTACCTGACTCTGGTATTTTTAACCAAGTACGTTTAACTTTTTAAATGCTTATCTTTTTACCTCTGTGGTACATTATAAGCTTCACAAGGTCCAGGATGGCATTTTAGTCTTGTATTGTCCCTTTTTTTTTTTTTGAGACAAGGTCTCACTATATAGCCCAGGCTGGCCTCAAACTTGAGGAAATCCTCCTGCCTCAGCCTCCCAATCGTTGGGATGACAGGTGCATGCCACCATGCTCAGGTCATGGCAATTTTTCATTTATTTTGATCGTGTAAATTAAAGGGATCTTATAATAATAGGTTTGTTTTGGTTTTGTGGTACTGCAATACTGGGCAAGTGGTCTACCAGTAAACTACCTCCAGGCCAGGAAGAACTTTTAACAGGCCACCTTACCACTCTAAGTATAATAGCCACATAATATTGCATATTTCATTTTTCTTTTTACTTTTTTATAGTGCTGGAGACCAAATCCAGAGCCTCACACTTGCTGCGACTGAGCTACAAGTACCTCACCGTAAAATTTCTTGATTTGATTTTATCAAAACTCTAAAGCAGTTCTTATACAAAAGAATCACAGCTGAGAAAACTAAAAGAATTTTCTTAAAACCATGATCTTTTTAAAAATACACAACTACTAGCTAATCTTAGAAGGGAAGGGACTTTCCCCTCTAGTCCCTCCTCTATTAGAGTGAATCAGATATAATCATGATTGTGTCAAAAGTTCAAAAGGGAAAGTGGAAGGTAAAATGAGCTGAATTGGCACTCTTCCCTCAACATTGTACCTGTAAGCTTGATATGTTGTTTCAGAGATTAACTTTATAGACTTCCGTACCCAGAAGTATGAAAATTCTTAGGGAACTCTTTTCACAAGCTTGATCTTAACATATTGAATAAAGAGAGCAGTTAATCCCTTTTGTAAAGTAATTTGAGAGGAGGGAATTCAAAATGTAAAATCTCACCTGCAGAAAATACTCAACTCTGTAAAGCCCTTTCTATCTTTAGACACTTACAAAGACTTAATATTTTAACGTGGAAGGGTGAACTTGGCTAAAAAGCCAGTGGGTGAAATTAGAGAGAAATAATCCAATGCTTTCTTCCTGGGAATCATCGTCCTGCTCTCCAGGGGACCTGATTTTTATTCCATGTGAGGAATGAGAATACCCCTCTGTATTACAAGCCAGGAGCTCTAAATATAAGCTTGACTTTAAGTATAATAAGAGTCTTGTTATGGGCAGTTTTGCTCTTAGTCATTAATACAATGAACAAATGTTGTGGTTACCTGGGAAAGAAAATTCAAGTGCTTTTAAACCTTTTGTGAGATTAGGTTTCACACTTGAAACCTATACACTGTTATGCCCAGCAGCATCTGTAGAACATTCCAGGCTCTGGGTATATAGTGTAGAAAGAGGTTAATGCACTTTAGAAAAAATGGATGCCGCTAAAAATGGCTTTAAATCCTGGGTAAACAGCTCTTTTTTTGCTGTATGACAACTGTTTACTATTAGAACTAACTTTAACAAGTAGAATTTTCTTAGGAGTGAATTTTACAAGATGATAATGTCTCTGTATACAAAATAAGAGGTTAACCTTTCCTTCAGATGTTACTTAACATTTTTCTTTTTGGTACTGGGGATGAACTTGGGTCCTTGCACTTTCAGGGCAGGCAGCAGGGCACCGCTAAGCTAAATCCCTGGACCCACTTAACATTTTTCTTTTCAGCTATAAAACAGCCTCAGGTCCTACAAGTGTAAAGACTGACTTAAAAGACAATTTAATCTAAGGAAATATATAGTATTACATAGGATTTTTGGTAAAATATGGCATTTATTGGATTAAATTATTTTTGTCTTTTACAAACTTTGTGATGTGCACATTTTAAAATCTTTTTTTTTTTTTTTTTGGTACTGGGGATCAAACTTGGGACCCTGCGCTTTCGAGGCAGGTGCCGGAACCACTGAGCTAAATCCCCGGCCCTTAAAATCTATTTTTACAGAATAGGTACTTATAACATTTTGTAAACAATCACACTGCACTTTGTAATTCAGTACTATTTTTTCCTTATGAATTTATACCAAACCCTATGTAAACTCCATGAGTTAATACAAGAGTAAAGATGAATAATGTCAAAATTGGTGGGGGAGGGGGTTGTGACAAAGTATTGCTTTGTGTTGCAGGCTGGCCTTGAACTCACTATGTAGCCCAGGATGGCATAGAACTCTCAGTGATCCTCCTGCCTCAGCCTCCTGGTAACTACTGGGATTACAGGCATGCACCCCTCACCTGTCTGGAAAATTTTTGAAGGTGTCAAATTACAACAGTTGATAGACATAACTATACCATGAAATTTACAAGCTATGACATTTATACATAATTTTAAATATACTGTAAAAACACATTTATAGAAAAGCATCCACATTAATTTTATTATAAACCAATGAAGTAAGAGAAATATTTATTAAAACTTCCTACATAGGCTGGGGATTTAGCTCAGTGGTTTCACCACCTGCTGCGCAAGTGCAAGGACCCGAGTTCGATCCCCAGTACCAAAAAAAAAAAAAACTTCCTAAAAATCAGAAAATATTTCATCCAAGGAAAAAATTTAAAAGTAAACAAGGCTGGCCATGGTAGTACATGCATGCCTGTAATCCAAGCACTCCAGAGGCAGAAGCCGTCCAAGGCCAGCCTAAATTACATAGTGAATGTTTATATATATATATATATATAAACAAAACGATCTTTTGTAAGAACCAAAAGGTAAATGGAAGGGCAGACAACAGTTTTTTTGTTTTTTGGTACCAGAGATTGAACTCAGATCCTTGCTCTTTCGAGGCAGGCGGTGGAACCACTGAGCTAAATCCCCGGCCCTAGACAACAGTTTCTGAGGACTGTCATGCATGCTTTGATGTTTTGAAGCAGCTTCAGCAAATGTGACTCAATAACTCATTGAACACTTCTGTAGCCCAGGACTACAGCGAAATCCAAGGAAGTAGTCCCAAAGTCATTTATTGGGTGAGCTCCATTTCCTGAGAGGATCTTGGAAAATGATTCCCACAGACAGCATGAAGCAAAGCTGTTCCTCCACTCCAGGCACATTTCTTTTACATCAGCTCCATAGTCCAGCGGCATTTTGACAACATCTATAGCCTTTATTACAGGCCAAGGACTGCAACTTCTCAACCTTTTCCTAAAAGCTAAGGATTGGCACCATTTTGAAGTAGAAACTGTACCACAGCTGTCTGCCCCTGTGCTGCAGCCCACATGATGGAGTAAATCCTCCTTCATCTGTGATTGATAGGATAGCACTTTCTTGTTTGATGGGAGTAACCAGGTGGAGCATCTCTCATGACCTGCCAACTGGTGAACAAAGAATTTGTTATTAGAGATGTGGTGGAGACCTCATTTCCTCTTTGTTTGTTGGTTAAAGCACTTGACTGTTTTATGAGTGAGAAGTGCTTTGTTGTAGAGGGGATGTAGATATGCCTGGCTCAGATTCCAGGAGAAGGAGATGTATGGATGTTGCATTCAGTTTTAGAATAGTTGGCACCTTCAGGTCAGAGTTAACTTGATATTTATTGAATGTGTTTACTGTCCTCTTCATTTAAGGATTTCACAAATTGGGAGCACAGGTTCTATCCAAGTGGGTTGAACAGTATGAATTCTGTTCCCATGGCAATATCCTGAGCTGATCTTTCTGAATTTGGATCTAGTGAATATTCTGTTTCAATGTCTGGCTTGCTGGAGAGACTAACACTGCTGGGATACTCTTCCACTATCAGCTGGGCTGTACTATACAGATTTGATGATGTAGCCACGATTTCCTCTTGGTATTATAAAAACAACATTCAGTGTATTATTAGAATTTAGATACTCAAAAATGGGCACTGGGTGTCTTGGCATCCCCAAACAGGAACTCGATTTGCCATGGCGAGCAGATCCTGGAATCCCTGTGCGGATGGTCTGCTGAGGTATTGGCTGAGCGGGCTAGCAGTCAGATCTAGCCTTCTCTCACCCCATGGTCCACTGATAATTTTACCAGAATAACAGGAAAAAGGAAAAAAATATATATATGCATGTAAATAACCTCAGGCAGAGTGATCCCCAAAGCATACATGCAAAGTTGCATTTTGGAAGTTGTATTTAGTGTAAATAGTGTAAATAATACACCTTTCTAGCAAGTAGCAAAGTTTTGTTATATGTAAATATCTTAATTAGCTTCATGATTAGCTTTCCTTAAGGTAACCAGACTTGTCACACTACCAGTTTTATAAACAGATTCCTCTCTCCTTTTTTGACATCTCCTTCATTAATATGCTTCAACTTAGGTATGACTTTTTATTTCAGACAAATCTTCCTATTTTCAAGCTAAAGGAATCTACTGTTAGAAGAAGATACAGTGACTTTGAATGGCTACGAAGTGAATTAGAAAGAGAGAGCAAGGTAAGAATTCTTTCTAATGAAACTTTAATTTTCAGATTCTCAGATTTTATTTTTTATTAGTTCAAGACTGGCCTGAACTATATAGTGAGACACTGTCTCCAAAAAAAAACAGGCCAGAGGATCATAAGTTGAAGGCCACCTTGCACTATACAGTGAGTTCAGGGCCATCACTGACTATGTAGAAAGACTGCCTCTAAATTAATTAATTAAATGTGTATAAGAATTCTGATTAGATCTTTTCAGACTGCTTAAGCAAAAGTATTTTGATGTTGAAGAGGATCTTTGAAATCTTAGCTGAACAAGCCATTCATGACTTTCGTAGGTCATTTATTCCTTATGACTACAATCCTGCTGTCCATTTACATTGGTCCTAGGTTTCTTTTTTAAGTAAGAGCTTTTGTAGGTAAAAATATTCTCCACTCACCAAATAACCATTTTACTGGAACTCATTGGTTAGGATCCTCTCTCAGTTGTAAGGTCCCTGCAGATCTTAAAACACTCAACTTGACAAGTGCTAATAGAGGAGAGAGATTCATGAATACTGAAGCAAATTTATGGCAGAGAATCCTGACATGTCTTAATAATTGGAAAGGATTATAAAGTTTATGTTGGGCATTTGGTTTCATACTTTTTTTGTTGATCTGTATGATCTTTTTTAATCTACTGAATTATTATTTCCAGATTAGGTAAAGAAACTCTGTATCAAAGGCTTAAAGTAACTCTTGGGGTTGGATGGAGCACAGTGGTAGAGGACTGACCTAGCATGGCCAAGGCTGTGTTTGAGCCCCCAGCACCTCAGCAACAAGAAAAAGTTTTAACTCTTGTAGAATATGTATAATTTCTGTTACTGGTGAGAAGGAATAATTTTCTATATATGTTTACTATTTATAATTCTCTATGTTCTGTTTTGATGTAAGATAAAATAAGCTAAATGGTTGAGCTTCTGCTTCTGTTGTATGCCCAACTTTTCGTAGATTTTTCTTTGTTTGCGATCAAACCCAGGGCCAAAGTGCTCAGCAAGCACTTTTATCAGAGTTACATCTCCAGACACTGTTTTTCGTTTTTTTTTTTCTTAAATTAATTTTATTGGTACATTTAAAGTATACAATATAATGACATTCATCATTGGAAATTTTCACCTTTACATAATCTCTCTTGGTTCTTATTTTTTTCCCCCTTTCCCTGCCCTCCCTTCAACCCCTCCATCCCTCCCTATTTACAAAGACTTTGTTTCCATTTTTTCATATTAATTCCATTCCCTTCTTTCCTTTCCCCTATACCACAGAACTCCTGGGCTCAAAAAATCCTCCCAAGTAGCTGGGAATGCAGGCATGCTCCATCACACCTGGCTGAAATATAGCTGTCTTTAAGAAGCTGAAGTGATAAGAGTTATGCCAAGAAAAGGGCTTACCCTAATTGTACATTGGCATTAAGTTTGACCAAATCCTAGAGAATGTGATTATGTGAGCTTACACATTAATTTTTATCTACTAATTTGAAGATCTGTGAGTGGTAAAAAAGGGGAGGGAGTACACAAAGCTTTTGACTCTTGGTTATCTACCATAGTACACTTGTATTTTTATGAACATACAGACATTCCTCATTTAATGACCGAGTTATGGTCCTGGATTAGGCTGTAAATTGAATTGGCCGCTAAATGAGGAATTGTATATAGTATGAACATTCCAATATTCAGAACAAAGAAATGTTGAAAGGAAACTCCAACTTTATCACTTTACTTTTATTTGCATAACTTACATGCGGTACTGTAATGTATAACAACCTAAACTACTGTACTCTACTGCACAGTACAATCAGCAAAACTTACAGTACTGTGTAATCAAGGCATGCTGTACAAAAAAGACATTGAGGCTCTGCAAACAAGATGTACAGAACTGTACAAAAAAAGAAAAAGGCAGTATGTCAGAGCTGTATAACTTGGTCGTCCAAATGGTCATTAACCAGCTAGGTCCTTAAATGAGGAATATCTGTGTTTCCTTTTGAGTCAGAGCAGTGCTATACTGCATGCTTTGAAATTCTGAAATAGAGGTATGGTTGACTTTTGTGTTGTGTCGTGTCGTGTTGTGTCGTGTTTGCAGTACTGGGGATTGAATTGAGGGAATGCTGAGCTGCATACCAAGCTCTTTTTTTTTTTTTTTTTTTAATTTGAGATAGGGTCTCACCAAGTTGCCCAGAACTTGCCATCCTCCTGCCTCAGCCACTGGAGAAGTTGGGATTACACACCAGTCTGGTTTTGTATTCAGCCTGTGATGGAAAACTTGAAAAGATAGGGCTGTTGTCTCAACCGGAAGGTGCTGCTTTTATCTAGTGGGTGGAGGCCAGGGATGCTGCTACACATTCTGCAGCACTCAAGAAGCCCCATCACCACCCTTCAAAGAATTCCCTGGTTGTCAGAGGTAGGGCAGAGGCTGTGGCCTGGAGGTAGAGCAGTTGCCTAGCACGCTCAAGGCCCTAGGTTAATTCTTACTACTGTGTTATTAACGTCTTATTTCTTCATTGAATCGCAAACTTGATTTTGGTATTGTTTTAGGTTGTAGTTCCCCCACTCCCTGGGAAAGCATTTTTGCGTCAGCTTCCTTTTAGAGGAGATGATGGAATATTTGACGACAGTTTTATTGAGGAGAGGAAGCAAGGGCTGGAGCAGTTTATAAACAAGTAAGTGCTTTCTATTCTTCAAGGGCTGAGAGTGAATATTGTTTTGAAACTACTTTAGGTACCTGCTAGTAATTTAGAGGTTAAGCTAGACTATAATAATGCCTTTCTTTTTGGCCATATTCTAACTTTTTATAGCATTTAAACTAAGTAAAAGTATCTGACAAATTGAATATCATGTAATATAACACCCTTGAGTGATTGAAATGTGTAACTCTGTTTTGACCGGAGTTTTATATTTGTTTTTCTTGGTTAATTTATGCAGATTACATTTTAAATTACAGTGTTTTTAAAATGCATTTTTTCAATTCTTTCTGATTCTTTCTGTATAAGATATGTTCTAACATGAACAATAAAACACACAATACTCTTGCAATCATTTTCTTTGATTGCAGATACAGATATTATCAGAGTGTCTTGTGTACGTGTGTACATTTTTTATTCTCATGACAAAAGGTTCCTTTGAAAAATGTAAAAAGACTTAGGAACATTCATCTCTTGGAAACTCAAACCATTACTAAATATCTCTTGTTTGGTACTTGGAATTGAACCTAGGGCCTTTGTACTCAGCTACATCCTCAGCCCTTTTTATTTTTTATTTTGAGACAAAGTCTTGCTAGGTTACTAAGTTGCCCAGGCTGGCCTTGAACTTGCCATCCTGCCTCATCCACTCGAGTAGCTATGATTACAGGCCAATCTGGTATTGTGTTTAGCCTGTGACGGAAAATTTTAAAAGCAAGCCAACAAAGCTAGAAGCAAACCAAAGAGCTGGCCATTTGTGCCTGCCTTTTAGTACAGTATTGAGGGCTTTATTATGTTTCCTGTATTTTTAACTCCAATCCTATATATTCTCATTCAGATGCCTTCTTAGAATTCAGTGACACATTTCACTTTTAACATTAAATTCACTTAAGTTTCTTAAGAATACACCAGCTGATAATGTGCCAGAAGCAGTACAAAGTTAGTCTGGAGTGAAATGTTTTCTAAATCGTTCTTGTGAACCAAATGAAAGAAAGTATACCATTAGCTAGTAGAGCATAACTATGTAACTATCCCAGAATAATAGTTATTTTTAGTAAATTGTACATACTTCCTAACCTTAAAATGAATGTTTTGGCACCCCTACTATCAACTACTTTTATAAAATATTAGACTAAATTTGTATTTTTAATTTCCAGGGTTGCTGGTCATCCTCTGGCACAGAATGAACGTTGTCTTCACATGTTTTTACAAGATGAAATAATAGATAAAAGCTATACTCCATCTAAAATAAGACATGCTTGAAATTTGGCAAGAGGCAAAAACGTGACCCTTAATGATGCCTGTGCACCAATGAAGACATTCTAACTACCCTTTAGCATGCTGTACAGAAACTGGTATTCCATGCCTTCAGTACAGTAACACTCATGTGCTCGGTTTTGTTTGGCAGTTGACAGGTTAATTTGCTTTAGTGAAAATCTCTCATTCCAGCCTTTCTATATCAATAGCTCTTCCTTGCTGTTTTAATGTGGTATACACTATAGCCTCACAAACCTTCCTATATAATCTGCAATGTCCTAACTAAAGATTCTGACTTGGTCTCATTTGCACAGTTTTTGTGTCATGTTTGCTTCTTCAATCCACTTAACTAGAATATTTCTCCCTCCCTTTAATATGTAATGTCACTTGATCTAATTTATGTGTAAGAGCACTACACCGTCCGTTTTCAGTGCCGCACATGAAAGATACACACTTGTGTGCAGAACGTATTTTCCTTCCACCCTAGAATACCCTTCACATGGAAGATTAATGAGGGAAATCTTTATATTCTGTATAAAAACAAAATCAAATTTATATACTAAAATCATTTGTCTAAAAATTTAAGTTGTTTTCAAATAAAAATGCATTTCTTATATGCACTGATTGTGTTGCCTCCAGCTTTTCTTTTCTCCCTTATGGCTTAGCTACTTAACTCACTTGTTGAGAGGGATTATTTACTAATTATACACTTCTTATTCCTGTAACTCCATTCCTCTTTAAACACTGGTGATATCAAGTATGCAGCAACCTTTTGAATGGGGTATTTTCTTTTAAACAACCGAAAAGCAATGCACTAAAAATGCATTCCTTAAAGCTTATTGAATTGTTATAAAGCACTTTGTATATTGGAGAAATACTTTATAATCTTAAGTCATTCTTTAAAAGCCCTTTTAAGATAAGTCAACACCAAGCCTCCTGTTTCTCAGAAGAATTTTTTTCCTAGTCCATCTGAACCTAGCAAGAGTATAGTAAGTCTGTCAGCAGATGCATGCTTTCTCTTTAGTTAGGCTTGGGCTAATGGCATACTACAGAAAGAGATAAAGAGACCAGAGAATACACACCTCTATGCTGCCTGACTTGTGTTATATCCAAGACCTTTGCAGCCGGGATATGGTTTCTGGCTTGAGTCTTAACAACCTGTGGTGGTTTGAGGACTCATGTGACCCAGAGTTAAATCCCAAGATAAAGAAAGATTATCCTTCCACCAAGAGCTATCTCCTCGGTAAATGAGTCAGTGCATTTGAGAGGAAACAAGCTTTGGTCTTCAAAAACCAGGATTCCACCAAGCAGACTAGAAATCAGGTAAGAAGTCAAAGCTACCTTACAAGGCTTTTGTTGCTCAAACGGTATTTCACTATTCCATAAAACTGGTTACTTTCATCACTATAAGAAGATGCAACCCTAACCATGTTAATTTTACTTGAGTGGGTTAGAGAATATCAAAAGCTATCATTGTTTTGGTATACTTATAACTGAAAATAATAGTTGAACTGAGTAATTCCTCTACAGCAGTAGTTCTCGGCCAGGGATGATTCTGCTTCCCAGGTGATATTCAGTGATGTCTGGAGATATTTCAGTTGTCCTAACTGGGGAATGCTCCTGTAGTCTAAGAGACAGAAGTCAGAGATGCTGGGAACCTTCTGCAGTGCACGGTTCAGCCCCCCACAGCGGAAATATAAATGTCAGTAGTGCAGGTTTCCACCTGGGTCCTTGATAACAGGAAATACTGTAATGTGGTTTAGTCTGGGTTGTACTGCCCTGCTTGTTTTTCATTTCTATCACAGTCTCCTGCGGATAGGTATGCACTTGAAAAGTTACTTATTCCAGGTTTTGCCTAATTCACGAAGGTACTTTTCAGTGTTGTCTCTTAGGGAACAAAGACTGTGGTCTATAGTAAAACTACACCTTTTCCCCTCTAAGTTAAATAAAAGTAAAAATACTGGTGCTGTTAATTCTAACCACATAGGGTTTTAGAGACTCTTAGGAGTCTTCTTAAGAGAATAGAATTTAATTTGGCAATGAGTTACACAGCAATGGATGGGTAATTCCGAGGCCTTTCGAGGCTCAGGAGGCTGAAGCAAGATTACAGGTGTGCCACCTGCCTGTCTATATTGGTCTTATTTGAGCTTATCTGACTTAGTCCTTATGAAGAGAAATCAGGAAAAAGGTCTTATCAATTCTTGAGACATTACTTTTTTTTTTTTTTTGGTGCTGGGGATCGAACCGCTTGCGCAGCAGGCGGCGAACCCACTGAGCTAAATCCCCAGCCTGAAACATTACTTTTGTATCTTGATTTACAGCCTTACAAAAAAATTAAAGCATTGTAGGGCTGGGGATTTAGCTCAGTGGTGCCACGCCTGCCTGGCAGGCACAAGGTCCCAAGTTCAGTCCCCTGTTACCCCACCCCAAGCATTGTTAGAGGCCAGAAAAATTAACTCAAAAACACAAAAGGAAGTTTACTGTCAGACTGAGTGCCATAAATGGAAGCAACCAGCAGTACTAAACACTTGAGATGTGTAGAGTGCCAACAGGCAGGAGAGGTCTGACCCAGCCCTTTCCTCAAGCTCCATCTTGTGAGGACACTGCCATGAAACACTAATACTGCAAGCCCCAGAACAGATATGGCAAGCTTGACATGAAGGGACATGGGAATTCAGATAAGAGGAAGGGACCGGGCATTCACAGTGAAACAAACTTCCAAGTTTGCTTCCTACATGAATAGAGCTTGAAAGAAGAAAAAACTGGACAATCAACTTCCCAGACCCTTCAGTGAATTAAGATTGCAGGGCAGAGATGTTCTAGAACGATACCCATGTGGTTCTGGCAAGGGAACAGAATGAATAGTCATTGTGAAATAATGCCCAGAACAGTTTGTTAGAAGGGCCTGCTCTGCAGGGTTGAGACTGCTAGAGTCTTCTGGTTGGGGGAAGGGTGTTCTTCCCACTCTAGCCTCTGTTACCCTACCTTCCTGCCTCTTACCTGAAGGAACAGCACAGTTAACAGGGGTCACAACTTCAAGGAAATAGATAAGCAATGCTGCAGACTTGGAAGGGCTAAAAGCTGTACCATTGGAGAAACAGGCTCATAGCAACACTGAAATTTCATCTGAATTATAGAGTGCCCCTACCCACACCTTCCACCACACCAGTGGGGCTGCAGTGTCATCTCTAAGGAGTATTAGGGTAACCAAAAGTTGAGAGGCAAGTGACAAAGACACTAGAGGAAGGTAGTCTCTGGCACCTGAACCTAACACAAACATTAAGCATTGTCCAGTTCTAGCCAGACTGCTACAAATGTTTTAAGTCTAACATATCTGGCTCTTAAAAAATGACAAGGTGTGCCAAAAGAAAAAAGAGATAAAGCCATCATAACCATGATAATGTCACAGATGTTGGAATTATTAAGCAATTAAAAGTAACAAATGCGTGAAAGGATTTCATTGTTGCTTTTTGAAATAGTCTCACTATGTTGCCCAAACTGTTCTCTTTGTGACTTCAAGTAATCCTCTAGCCTAAATCTCCCATATACCTGGGAGTACAGGCATGCACCTCCACACCCAGCTACTTTAAAGCTTTTAATGGAAAAATTAGACAATATACAAAAACAGATGGGTAAGGACAGGTTGTAGCTCAGTGAGCACTTCCCTAACATCCACAAAGCCTTGGGTTTGATCCCTAGTAGTAGGGGTGGGGGAAGAGTAATGGAGAGGGCTGGGGATTTAGCTCAGTGGCACCACCTGCCTTACAAGTGCAAGGACCTGAGTTTGATCCCTGGTACCCACCCCCACCCCCCCAAAAAAGTAATGGGGACTATAGAAAAACACTCAGAATCAAAGGAAATTATAAAAATCAAAATCACTGTAATAGAATGCCAAAAAAATCAGTTACTTAGACTCTTTTTAAAATAAATTTTATCCCCCCCTCCCCAAGCAGATGGACTCTTAAGTAGACTTGACATAGTGTAGGAAAGAATTAGCTTTGGTTTTGTATATGGTGCATGGTATTGAACATGCTAGGCGAGTGCTGTACCACTGAGCTACTCCACCCTCCAGCCCTGTTACAGATTTTGATTATTACTTGAAAATTGCAATAGAGATGTGGGTGTGCCATGACCTGGCCTGGTTGGGGGTTCATTCGGTGTTTGGGTAGAGTGTGAGACGAAGGGAGAGACAGACACAGGTTGCAAAGCAGCTAATACCATCTACTCAGTGCTGCATCAGCCTGTGCTCTTTACATTATTATTTAAGCATCAAAATAACATTGGATGAGTATTACTCTCATTTTACTAACAGAAGGGGTGGGACAGAGTTTAATTTGTCTAAGGTCACACAGCCAAGAAGTGAAATGGATTTAAACTCTAGTCTTTGTGATGCAAATATCTGTACCTGTGCAATGGATTCCTTGATCCCAGTGTGGTTATCAGAGTCAACACTAGCAGAGACCTTTGCCTGAGCTAAAGGACACTGAACATTTAAGAGAATTTGGTTATATAAGTGGATGGCCATCCCTGGTTGGCAGAGGTGAACGCTGCAGCTTTGCCATTTGCTTTCTTGGTAGATTTCCTTTCCAGCTAGATTATACTTTAATCCAGTTGTTTTCATGTTCAGTAAATCCTAACCACGTTTAACCGGTTTAGTCGTTGGAGTGTCTGAGGTAAAGAAAGTTTGTCCTTTCAGCTGCACTGGGGATTTGCTGTCTTTCTGCAGGGATTTTCCTGGACGGGTAATCGGGTAATCGGAACACTTTGACCTGGGGAGGGGTTTCCCTCACTAGGAGCTGATCTGTAAGGCTTGACCCTTTGTGTGCTGGAGCAGAGACAATGCTATTCTTCTCTGGAGAACAGTTAGTAATTGATGTCAGGAATGTTAATCATCTGCTGTGTGCTTCCCCGCCTTGCTGCTCTTTGCCGCTGCACCCAGCTACCTGTTGGCCTCTGCTGCCTCAAGAACAGCCCCATTTTCTGACATTATTCTAGAGAGAGTTCGCTCCAGAGAGGCTTGGACAGTCTGACAGAAGCTAAAGTAAGTGAATTGGGCTCAGACAACAGTCTGAGTCGATGAGATGACAGGTGCTTTGTAGGTATTGGTGGGAAGATAAATTGGCATAACCTCTGTGGAAAGCACTAACTATCCAAACTAGACTAAGGGGAGTGAGGAGGTAACCTGGTGGAAAAGCACTCAGTATGTGCAAAGCCTTGTGTTTGATCCCCAGTACCACCACCAAAAAAAAATTTCTGGGGAGATCCACTTCCAGGAATTTATCTCACATACTTTGTCTTGTGAAATTATAAA